CCATAAAACTTTAAAAAATTTCATTTTGGTCATTAACTAAATTTTTGGGGTATTACATGGGAGACATTGGAGTCTATGAAGGCTCAGTTTCCGTATTTATTTCCATCAGGTAAATTTTGATGACGAAATTTCATTTAAGGGGAAGAGTTATAACACCCCAACTTAGGGCCTAAAATTTTCTTAAAATTCTTCCGAAGACTAAATTAAAATTTTAACTAAATTCGGGGGTCAAAGTGAAATTCTGAATAAATTCATATCCAAATTCAGAAAGCATAAAAAACTATAGTACATATAGTGTAATTTTTCCATTTTTCTTTATAGGGAAAATATAACCCCCAAATTTGAAAAAATTTTAGAAACCCTATTCTCTCTCTTTTCAAGCTTTTTTAGTAAGAAATTTCAATCGTCATTTCGTCATCGATCGTTGCTCTGTTTTTGACACATCCTGCACCATCGTGTTCCTTACGTCGTCCCAAGTCCACTAGTTTCCATCTTGTCTCCGTTTTCACTAGCGTGTGAGGGGGTGAGAAATGTCAAGTTTTTGACATTTCGAAATCGAGCTCTCTGCCATTCACCGCTATGAACTAAGCTTGGTAAGTCTCTCAAAACCCCTCAAAATGTAAGTATGAATTTGTTTTTGTAATTCTTTCAACTTTTGAAGCATCCATATGCGCCCCCACAAGTCGTCCCTACGCATGGGAAATTCCACCGCCTGGTGGGCTGCTTGATTATGGGCTGACTCGACCACATCGGTTTCGACCTGATATGACCTGACCGGAACTAAACTGGTCAGCCATTTACCATTGATTGTTGATCGTTGACCGACCGTTGATTGTTGATTGGCATTGAATTTTTTTGAAAACCTCCTTCTTGACATTTCTCGATATCTTTAGTCCAATTCCACAATTCGTTTTGCCAAATTTTGACTCGAAAGCCACGAATCGATCCCGTTAATCTAAAAATGTTTAGTATTTTTAGCATTTTTTTCTTATTTATTTGGGATTTGATTATGAAATTGGTTTGATATGGTGTTTCCCATCTGTCAGATCCGTATAATTCGTGTTCCTCGAGATTTACTAGTAGGTATCTATAGATTGTTTCAATAGGTTTATTATTATTCATATTAGGATTTTAAAATAGATATTCCAATTCTTAGGATCTAGCACTGCCACTGGTCATGATCGATAGACTCAGTAGTAGGATTTCTTATTAGACTACTAAGACCGGTATTGTTTTGTTTCCTGATGATGTTACATTACTCTTTTAAACTATTCATCTTAACTGTTTTAGATTTTTGATAATACAAAAGATTTTTACAATGCGATACTTGATTTTCTAAATATTGTTTATCTAATATCTGATTTACTGTACATTTCTGATATAATCTCTGATTTATGTATTTTTGTATCTGATTTCTGAGTCTGGAATATTTTCATGTTTTAATGGATTAAACTATCGTTTTCACTCGAATACATACATATTTATTACTATCATTGGGGGTATTATTGGAGGAAGTATATCAGGCCTATTCTATGGCTTGTAAGACCTTACCACAAGCTCATCTGCTTTGTGCTCAGGGTAAGTCCTTACCGTAGGATCCTATGCTTTGTGCTCAGCGTAAGTCCTTACCGCAGGCCCTTATGCTATATGTATAAGGCCTTAACGGGTGTATAGGTGGGTGTATGGTTATGGGGAACCTACACATTCTGGTGATCAGATAGGGGTAGTGGTCATATTTTTAAAACATGTTTGATAAACTATTTTTTTACTAAAGTATTTTATATGTATGTTTTTATACACCATAAGGAGAACACCGGGCTTTTTAGCTCATTCTGTAAATTTTTAGCATTTTCAGATAGTAGCAGACTGTATGCTAGTAGACTTGGCATTAGGAGGATCGACTACTCCTATGTTTGTACCATTGTATATATTTATACGTCTCTTTTATTATACTTTGGTTACACTTGTTTTTGTTTCCATCTCGATATATTTGTATTACTGATATTTTGATATATATATATGTTTTATATGATTTTTCATATATACATATATACTGATATATAGATGTTTATCGTATGAACTTTTCTAATGACTAATTTCATATTATATTGTTATATGGATTTTAAAAATGTTTTATATATATGAAAACAAATTTCTAAATATGATATATAACCTCCTAGATTTGGGCATAACATTCAGGATGGGTCTAGGGGGTTACAGTTGGTCTTTTCATATCTCTTTAAAACAGTTGCTAACTTGTTAAGGAACTGATCAAAGTTCTTGCTAAAGACTGAAAAATCATCCATAAATATTTGAAGGCAATCCTCAACCATGTTGGAAAATATGGTCATCATACAATGCTGAAACATTTTTGGAGCATTACACAGACCAAAAGGCATCATTTGAAAAGCAAATGTACCATAAGTACAAGTGAAAGTAGTGTTCTCTTAGTCTTCAGGTGCAATTTTTATTTGATTGTAGCAATTATATCCATAAAGAAAACAATCGAAAGTTTTGCCAACAAGCATATCTAATATTTGGTCAATAAATAGTAATAGAAAATTATCTTTCCTTGTGGCTTTTTTCAACTTCCTATAGTCCATACAAATACTTCAACCAGTAGTGGTGCGTGTTGGAACTAACTCGTTATTCTTATTAGAAAAATGGTGATGTCTCCCTTCTTTCGTATGTATTGAATAGAGCTCACCCAATTATTGTAAAAAATGAGGTAGATGATTCCAACATCCAACCATTTGATCGTTTACTTTCAATAACCTCCTTAATAATATGATTCAACCTCCTTTGTTTCTTAATATAATCATTGTTAGGATCTTCCAGCAATATCTTGAGCATACAAAAGCAAGGACTAATGCCCTTGATGTCAGCAATGCTCCAAACAATTGTTCGTTTGTGTTGTTTCAAAACATTAAGCAATTGTTCCTCTTGCGATGCTTCTAGCTTTGCTTCAACAATAACAAGGAAAAGTCTTATCTTCCCTAAGGAATGCATACTTCAAATGATAGGGAACATGCTTTAATTAAAAGTTGGGTGGATCTTTAATAGAAGGTCGAGGAACTTGAATAGTTCAGGTTAGAAGCTTCAATGATTCAAAATGTTTCATATACTTCCCTTAAACTTCTTCACTATCACCTAGTTCCTCTATTGTCACAACAATTTTCCTGGAAACATCCATGTTATGGTAGTCATCCCAATGCTCATGTAGAAAAACATCTATAACATCAATTGAATAGCACTTGACCTTGTCACTCACATTTGAAACATTATTCAAAACATTAAAAGTAATGTGTTAATAATTTAAATGCATAGTGAGTTTTCCTTTTTCAACACCTATCAAAGCTCGGTCGGTAGCAAGAAAGGATCATCCAAGTATGATTGGAATGTATTTGTCAACTTCACAATCCAATATGATAAAATATATAGAAAATGAATTTATCCACTCGAACTAGCATGTTCTCATAATGCCACTAGGATACACGATAGAATACACGATAGAACGATTGGCAAACTGAAGAGTCACGGTGGTGGGCCTTCCTTCTCCACTTCCAAATTTCCTAAAAGTTAACAAAGGCATGAGATTAATGCTAGCATCTAAATCACATAATGTTTTGCCTAAAATTTAATCACCAATAATGAAAAGAATAGTAAAACTCCTTATATCTTTTAGTTTTAGTGGCAAGCGACTTGCAACCATAGTACTACATCCCTCGGTGAGTGCAACCGTTTCAAATTCTCCAACTATTTTATTCTTCTAGAGCACCTCCTTCATGAACTTGATGTTATTCGGATTTCGCTCCAATGCATCAATCAATGGGATATTGATTGTCAAGTATTTTAGCACATTAATAAATTCTTTGTACTATTGATCCTCCTTGGTGTTCTTGAATCATTGAGAAATGGTGGATGAGGTATTGGATTCGACTATCTTGGCATTGGTGGTGGCATTACATATTCTAGTGTTGATGGAATTGCTATTAGAATTATTGCAATATCACGTCTCTTTTGCTATGACATCCATATTTTGTGTCTCTATATCTACTTCCATACTTTTTCCTTTAACTTGTTGTTGAAGTCTCTTATCAACCTTCTTTTGGGGTTACTCGGTATATTACCTAATATGAAGATTGTTTCGTGTAGTGATGGATTTGCAATGCTCATTATATTGAGTTTTCTCGTATGCTTTTGGAACTTTTGTGTCACTTGGAAAAGTTCCTTCCTGTCTATTGCTCAGAGCATTCTCCAATTGCCTCATTTGATTTTCTAATGCTCTTAGTGATGTTGATTGGCTTTGGATCACATTTTAATATTTTGATAAATACTCATTAATTAAAGACTCAAGTGATGTTGAGGTGGCTTCTTGATTGAAATAGTGCCCTTGATAATTCTTCTAATTGTGTCGTTGTTGTGGTTACACTATTTGTTGATGTGATTGATGTGTGGGTATCATCTACTTCTTATTATATTGTTGTTGTGGCTGATAATGTTGTTGTGTATTCCTAAAGTTTGATTGGAATATCATATGTGTATTTTCTACATTTTAGCTCTCCTAAGACAAATTAGGAGTGTTCTGAAAGTATGAATTGTAAGTATTCCCATAGACATTGGTGTTGGCACTCCTATTATAATTCCTCACAAAGTACATGAATTTATGGTTTTGTGGATATTCCTTCAAATTATGATCCTCTCCATATTTAAAACAAGTGACAATAGTTGTAGCTTTTACCTCATACATAACTCGAGGCTTTTGCATCTTTTCATCATTTCAATCAATATTGTGACTTCTAAGGTAAGAGTGATGATAACATCATTTTCCACTGCTGCAGTATTGTTTCTACCCAACATAATCATTGTATTAGGATATTGGTAGTAATTGATGGATATTCTCTCCAACATATCATAGGCTTCAATGTAGGTCTTATCCAACAATGCTCTATTGACAGAAGCATCAACAACCATTTTTATTTTCATATTCAATCCATTGTAAACCATACATCGGGAATTTTTGTAGTAAATCCTTGAAACACTCCCAAGCTTCATATAGGCTTTCATCCTCCATTTGCTTGAATGATGTGAGATCATTCCTTGATTTAGATTTCATATTAAGAGGGTTAAAACACAGTATAATGTTTTGAGCAAGCTCATTCCATTTTGATATAGCATTAGGTTACGGCAAATTGAGCCATTCTTTAGCTTTTTTCATGCAAAGAAAACGGAAATAACTTCAAAATCAAGGCTTTCTAAGGCACTCGTTACTATTCAAAAGAATCATACACTTTCATAAATCCTCTTAGGTGTGATCTAGGATCTTTTGTAAATGAACCACTATATTGTGCCATTAACTGTAGCATTTGAAACATCACATGCTTCAGCTTGAAGTCGGTAGTATTTATGACATGTCTCATAATGTCTAGATTCAAATTATCTAATGCCAACACAACATGCTCACATATTGACCTATTGTGGCCATCAATGTTAAAGAAGTTTGGTACATGTACTCCATTTCCAGCAAGTAAGTCATCATCACCATTTTACAACGGTGGCAAAGAATTGTTATCAGCACCAACGTTCATATTTGTTTCATTATGGATTGTTTGTCTACGGTGTCTATGAAGTGTTCATTCGATTTGGGATCAAAAGGCTCTAAGTCTTTATTATTGTTGTGGGTCATGCACCAGCAACACTTAGCTAAGAAAAACGTACCTACAAACTAAAAATAAACGAAGACGGTACAAACAAAAAGTAAAACAACTCTAATACAATACTATTACTCTTAAAAACGGAGCCAAAAACTTAATGCTAAGAAATTGTTACAACATTCAACACAAGTTCGTGTGTCAGATATCAAGTAATAATATTGGATGCATGTGCATGCATCGAATGTCGAACCCACGTAGAGAAAATGTTACATTATAATTGTTATGGTAAATGTAAAAGAGTTGTAGATCTTGAAATGAGAAAATAACAGCAAGGAAACAAAAGATTAAAATTAGAATGGTCAATTCAGGCAATGTAGTAACATTTAGGAGAGTAAACAATTCAATAGTTAAAAAATGTAGATGTCATACGGTAGTCCTCGTTATGAATTTGCTATGGTAATATGATCATACAACATACATTAATTAACAATCCTTAGTTAATTAGAATCAACTTTCACCAATTCCATTAATTTTATAATTAACAAAGCAACATCAATTGGCAACATACATTTTTATATACTAACTCTACTTTTCACAAACACCAATGTTGCAAGAAGGTAGCATGCAAATTTAATAACTTTTATTTCCAAAAATTATCAAAATCACATACATAAAAGATAACTCCATCTCTAAAATTGTCTTAATGAAGCTACTACAAATAAAAGCATTGTTTAAGAAATAAAAAGATATGTTCATCAAACATATTGTGTTCAAGTCCAAACAACATTCTAAAATAAAAACAATTCCAAAATTTATAATCGCAAATTCCCTCTTTCAAAACAATAAACGTGAATAGAGGTTGAATCCCACTTGACCATCACTGCTACATGGCTATGCTCCCTCAACTGCTGCTACACATCTTGGTGACGGGTATAGGAGACCATGGCTGATCGGAATGTAATATGTTTATTGAAATAATTAGATAATAAAAGAAGATGTGAAATATGTGATCTTCACTCCCTTTTATAGACTAGCAGTTGTTGTTAGTTCTACTCAGCAATTCATCATAGCATCACATACAGCATGGAACAATGCCATATCATCAGTGTACCAGATTTCATCATAAAATAGCAAAAGTAGCCCAAGTTCCTCCAACTAACTCCTATAATTCAAATGATGCAAAATATTTTAAATAAATCTAAATTGATCCTAATATGATCCTAAGATGTTAAAGTTCATGTTTAACCTAGGTAAAAAGATCCTAAATACTAACTCTTTCGGAGAGTTATCAATATCTTTAGTAATTTTATTAAAAGGTGATATTTAATTATTTTAAATTGTCAAAAAGGGTTGTTCTAACCTAACTAGTAGTTCAATTTTTTAATTTAAATAAATAAATATCCTTAAGTAAAATTAAATAAAATTATAACATATTAAAATCAATCAGGAGGATAAAAAATGTGATATTCTTATATTTAAATTTAACAAGGATAGGTTGTTCAAACTTATTCGATGGTCTAGCCTTAATATTTGTAAATATTTGAATATCCTTTATCTATATTAAAGGTTGGGTAATTTCTATTAATAAAATGTTTGTTTTTAGAATAGCCTTAATGTCAATAAATCAACGTTTAATTATAAGGGAAAATGTTATTGTTTCTTATTTTTTTCGGTAATGGAAAAATAACTATTCCACTTCATATTAGAGGGTATTTCTCCTCGGTTCGAAATGTTAAAATTTTGTCGATTTACCTTAGAAACCTTAGGTTCCTAAGAAGAAATATTGGTAATTCATCACCTTTTTTTTTTGGAAAAGAGAGGATGTCTTCCTACTTTATATTAGGGGGTTAACTCTCTCCAATTAAATGCATTGAATTGTTAACTTTTCTCTATAGAACTTTAGACAATTAAATAATGTTGTATTTATTCAATTGAAAAAGAAATCATTAATTAAATTAAAATTTGAAGTCATAATTTTCATTGCAAAGACAATAATTAATCGATTTGGTACCAATTTTAGGGCGTTGTGAAGGCGTTAATTCTTCTCCACATGTAATCGACTCCTAAACTCATTTTCTTGAAAGTAGACCTAAAAGTTGTTTTAGTAATTTTTAAATTAAATTTTATTAAGATAACCAAATATTTTTGGTTATTCAATCACACCTAAAATAAGGATTAGTGGTGATTCCCTCAAATCATATTTTTTATTTTTTAAAGGAAAACTTAATTTTAGTCAAAATGAACTCAAATTATTTTTTTTTATTTTTGTGACGTTATGAAATTGTCAATGTGATTGATGTTTATGTCCTTCTTTCTTTTTTTATAGAGATGGTTTAGCTTGCCTAAAGTAATCCTTTAGATTTGGAAGGGTTCTTCGGTATGTTATTGTGGTGTATCCACAACTCCAGGTAAGCGTTTGTGAAAATGATCAAGCGTGTTAGTAGTGATAGTTTCGTATGTTCCCCAAGTTAATTTCAAGGAAAAAATTAGTTTTAAAGGAGAAAGTTATAATGTCACCAAATTCGGGTTGTTAATGGAGTATTTAATGTGATTTCTGATAACAATATTTTTTTAGATTTTTAATTAGGGAAAATTACTAAAATGGTTTAATTTTTTTTTTGAAATATTAAATATGATTTTTAATATTATAAATTGATTTATAAGAGTGACTAAATTGAAGAATTTCAAAGTTTTAATTTTAGTGACGAAATTGTAAAAGGATCAAAATGTAAAAATCTTTAAAACAATTATACTAAGACTTGAAACTCCTTATTTTTTCCCTCCATTTTTCATGAACCTTGATCCCATTTTCCTTGAATTCAAGTTAGATTCATTCATCCATTCTAACTTCCTAAAATTATTTTTATAACATTCTTTTCATTATTTTCCATCAAAACCCTATTGTATCTCTTCCCATTTTTGGTCTCAAATCCTCTCACGATCGAATTCCTCTTCTGCATTTTCTTTCATTTGGTTGATGATTCTTGCTCATCTTTCTTCTTGATTTCATCTCCAAATCCTATTGCTTCATCTCTATTCTATTGTCTTCATCTCCTTATCTATTGATGTTTGTCTTTTCTTGATCATTTCTTGATCTACATCATCTTCTTCCTCTTTCTCTCATCAATTTCAACTAGGTGTTGATTTTGAGTGTTCTTGTTCATCTTTAATTAAGGTAAAGTGCTGCTATTGAGTTAGGAGGCTTAGATTACATTAACAGTGCCGGATGTGTGAATGATTGAGGAAAAATAGTGCATCAATTATTGGTGGTCATTTGGGGTTGAATTGTGTGATTGCACCATCAAGGTGTATGGTTGTCCATTCATTTATGATGAGCATTTTTTATGTTGAATGAATATTTAGTTATGAGTGAACTCTAAATCTAAGGTTTTAAGGTGAGTATACTTGTTGGTAATTGATGGCATGAATTCATGATATGTTTCTTAAAGTCAGTGATCATTAGTAACATGTGTACCATGACGAGTAATGATGTATTGTAAGTAAATGATTATTGTAAGCATGTAAGCTATGATATATTCATTACGAGTTATGGTGCATTAGAAGTACATGATTATTATAAGCATGTGAACCATAAGATGATGATTATGAATTATGGTACATTGGAAGAATGTGAAAATTACAAAGTATGTGATACATAATATGTGCAATGTGTTACTCTTTGATGCATAACCGATTTAAAAAACTATGTTACAAACTTATGTGATATTTAGCTTAGGGATGAGTAGAGACACTCTACTATTCGTGGATGAGTGAAGAAACTTTTTTAACCAATAAGGTTTGATCATCACATTCGTTCTTTGGTATGTTCAAAATTATGTTTGGAAAAAGATAAATGTATATGTCATGCATCAAAAAGCAACTACTCTTGATAAACTTGGATTAATTGGCAAATTGTTCTTAATGAGACCTTTGAATATGAAATGCATGCCTAGGAGAGAGTAATCTATGTTTTTTTATAAGTGTAAGGGTAATGAGGTTGGGTTGGTATGTTGAACTTTGCTCTAAGAAGATATATGAGATAAGGTTGGTGTGTTGAGTTTTGCTCCGAAATATGGAAGTTTCGAACTATGTAAGTTCAAAATAAAAAGAGAGATGTATAAAGTTTGTTTATCTAATGAGTATGTTGTGTTTTTAACAAAGCACAAAAGATCTTAAATGGAAAAAAATATATGATGTGTGTGCGGACTTTACAAGTAAGGTAGTTGTGCATAAGTGCATGTGGATTTCAGCAGTAAATATGATGAGTTAAATAATGATTATATTTAAAATTTTATGTTCATTAATGATGCATTATGTGAATATTATGGCATGACATCTTGATATGATCATTGAGGATTATGTGAATATTATGGCATGGCATCTTGGTATGATCATTGAGGAAAAAACAAGTGAGGTTTTATGGCATATATGATGTTTTCCTTTAGCCTTGATG